TCTTTAAGGCTAATTAGTAGCTTGGTTGAGTACTGGATTTTTTAAATGACTAAGAAAATATTCAGTAATAAGCACGAAAAAATGATTATAATGGAGTAGTTATAGATATTACTTATAGAAAAGAAATTGATTAGCTAGCACACTGATTCTGATTGAATATGAAAATATTGAAACTGTGCTACTTTATAAATAATAATACCTCGCCGATTAAATATTACCTATAGTGTTAATACTTTCGGGTTATTAACCGCTTCCTAAAGGATATTTTTTATCTGACTAGAAAGATATGTATCGTTATTCTTTCTCTATATACTTTCTAGGAATACCACTCGGCGCAACCTATTGACCCAAGGAACCAATGCTTGATAGTATGGTGAGAATAACTCACTTGCAATCTTAATAAAATCCTCTTCGTCAATAACTATACCTTACTTAGAACGAGCTGGCTTTCTATTATCCTCATAGTTCTAACAATCGAAGTCAGTTGGCCCAACCTCTTGGCCTAGACTATTATAATGAATATATATCCAGAAGAGTATTTAAAAGAAAGATTCGAGGTTATGCCTGAATGAATGTTGCTCTCCCAGAAATAGATCTATTACTATGAATATTCTCGTCCCTATCTTCCCTCTAGCTCCAGATGGTCGTTCTCGATGATTCTCGATAGATAGATCCAGGTCGATGAGAAACGCTGACCATGACAGATTTCCTACGTCTTTATTTAAGATAAGATTCCCAGTCGAGACATCAGCCTGTAAAAGTCCTGCTTTCGTATGCAACGACTGGTAGCCTTGTATAATTAGTAATGAACTATAGTATATGAACAAAACTTATATTTTCTATGCAATTCTCAAGTGCATGTAATAGCGAGACGCGTAAGCTTGCTCTATATATAGGTAAACTATAATCTTTGATAATAACTCGACGATGTACCCTATCCTATATATTGGTATTATAGACACTTTTGGAAGGTGAACTTAAGTAAGGGCGTTTCTTTAGTAGCAGTATTGCGCTAGCTTGGCTAGATGATCTTCTTTGGCCAGTCGAGTTTGTAGAGCGACTGGCTCTTTCTATTCCTACTGTATTACTTGCAATTAAGGGCAGCTTATACTGTACTGGTCGAAAGTTCATGGACTGCGTGATATTTAATCCCTTTTAAATATTGCAAATATTGTCGATTTCTCTATTTACTTAAACGGTTTCATGATAGTGATATCTAGCTATATTAATCATCTCTTTCTCCGTCGCTTCCTATAAAAGTTTCCCCTCTCCTTCTCTCTTTGGATATTGCCATTAATCTTTGATAATAAGTAGTGAATTTGTCTTGTCTTTTTCGCGATGGGCTTTCCAGCAAGTTATAGCTCTGCCAGCAACGCATATAGATCTCTTTATTAGTCTTTCAAGGATAAGACGCTTACAATGTCCATCGCGTTGAATTTTAATATAGCTTTTTTCGTTAGATATAGAAATAATGCTTGGGTTATATCCTAATTGTTTATTGTTCATCGTAAGAAACCCAGCATGGCCAAAACAAATTGGAGCCTATCCTTGTTGATGTCGAAGGAGGAGGACGCTATTGCCCCGACACGGTCGAACTCCTAGAGTCGTATATTAAGCTTATATAATGTAAAGCCTAGCGTAAAACGACAAGTATTTTAAACTGTTAGGACCTCTCTTGCATAACACCCCAAATCACGCCATGTCCTAGAGGCTTGTGTTGTACTGTACTACACAGGGCTGAAATTCATAATATAAATGTCGAAACTTATGAAAAATGATTCAGCCTAACTCTGAATGTAGATTATAATGCTCCAAATCCTCGCTCGGTTTAATACTAGAGGGGTCAAAAGGAAGAAAGTTTTTTAAAATATCAAGGTCTTGCTAAAGTCTAAGGAGGAATTAATATTATTAATCTTCAGCCTCGCCGACAACTCAATAGTATCTTCACAAGCCTGGAGAACCAGAGGAAAGTAGAATATGTCCCCAAGCCGAACTTGTCGTGGCGGAGGAATGAAAATGGAGGTCTTCGGGCCAAGCCCCCTCTGAGTAGTGTTCAATGAGGACCCTTGATATCTGCTCGATAGTTAGCATTTAGGGTCTCTGGGTTGCATGGCTGACTAACTGCCACCTTGCCCTCCTCAAGTTGTATTCCACATAGCGGCAGTTCAAGCAGGACCTTTCTAGTTGATATCCATGCAGCATGTCTCTTCTCCTGACTGTGAACCTATAACCTCGTCCTAAAGCCAGCTGGATAGCTATTCTAGGAGATCCCTGGATAGACTCCAATAGATAGATAATGGTAGCATCATCCGCAGGACGGCAGGTTACTCCTGAAATCCACCACCTTGTATATACTGCGCACACATTGCTTGTTGTGGTAGATCGGCGGGGCATTTTAGATAAAATAGCAACACGAGACGCCTCGGACCAGTTGATATCAGATAGTACTGATGAAGGCATGGATGCCACGCTTTGGGACACTAGACTTGTATGGTACGATGGGAAAATGCTATGATTGCATCCCTGAAATGCATCCCTCCTCTTACTAGTCGGCTGTTGCTGGCTGGTAAAGGGAGGGTTAAAAGGATTACGATCATCGTCTTTATTTAATAGAGATAATATGTCTATCACGGGCAGGGCGTATGAATTGGTCGTGGAAGGTCATGCACGTTTCCAATCTATCGGGATTGGTTGAGTGTAGAAGAGTCCCTTTAGATAACTGGACTTTTTAAATATCTGAGTTTACCGTACGAGACATGCAGACTCTGGGTCCAAGGTGAGAAAGTACGACCAGTACGCGCCCGCTCGATGGCGAGTTTGTTAACACTATTGTCAAGAGTGGAATGAGACCCTTGTTTATCGATGATTTTTGAATATGGTAGTTCGTTGCAAGGCAACATAGGGTGGGTGGATCGAAAACGCCGAATATCATTGGCAACAGGACGGCTTAGTAATAAGCAGACATAGATCTGGTAAATGGAGTTTATATAGAAATCGTGAGGTGGCCCCGGGACTGGAATAAACTATAGCTAACTATAGACCTATGAAATGCACGCTATTTAAAGGATTATGGAATATATTGATAATCTGTAAAGTGTGTACATAATAACGGCGGAGCAAGTGGATTACGTTGGAAAGAGGTATTGGTTCTGGAGGGCGGGTAATTAATAGGAGATTCAATCATTCGCTGGGTCTACCTACCCACCTCTTTATCTAAGATTCGGAAACTGGTCCTTTATTCTCACGAAAGGTTGAAACTCTGTGCTATACAAGCTTACTCTCTATTCAAGGTATTTATAAATCATTTCCCTTGAGAGATCTTATACACCGCGGTATACATATAATAAGAAGCAAGCTATTTTATTGTGTAGATAATAATATCTTCTTATTAGCGCTTCTTCCCTGGGAGCTAAGTATAGCAACACAGATAACTATGTAGTCTTGAAATATCTGAACCAATACAGCCCAGTTAATATTTCTGAAGTTAGATGCTTAGAGGGTTTACTCTACAGCTACTATTAGAAGGTAGCCCTAGAATAGATTGATAGCTTTGGAATTTATAGTTAAAATGGGAGCCTTGATATAAATATTATAATATTACTAGACTTGTGCTATTTCTACTAAGACCGTCTGAGAAAAGCACCTTGAAAGATGATATTATGCCGATTTCCCCTTTTCCAGAGTGGTGCTATGGGATGAAAGTTACAGGCGTATTAGCTGGTATTCGAGGTTTTGTATTTACTAAATCAACACCCTATTTTGGGACTCAAGCTGTTGATTCCTTGCCTGTAAGTCTCTGTTTTTATTGTGAACCTTCGACAATTTGCAGTTTAGTTGTTCATTGCATGCGAGAGTTTCCCGATTGAGCTGGTAAAATTAATAAGCTTCGCGATACGCTTGCTTAAGCAGCTCTCGAATGCGTTGTATAAGATAAGGCGCTATAATAATCATGTCCGATTTAGCATTGAAGGGAAAGGTAAGGAACTATACTACTTACCCTGGGTTGGAGTGTAAGCGCACAGCGATCTATTGTGTATATTTAAGAAACAAAGGAGTACACCACCGGTAGCCGTGAATTGATTTAGAAAATTCTTATATAAGTATCAAAGATTAGAAGAGTTTAATATTCGACAGTGTTAGTTAAGTGCTTTTATATCTTGAGTTTTATATTACTAGCCTCATTTAACTGTGCCAGCTATATTAGTTTAATGGGAACAACTCATTGTGTTTATATCTATACCATTCCTTTTTATACGCTGCAATAGATCCATCACTACCGCACTGTTGACTTGGCTCCACATCATGTACACTTCTGAATATTATTGGAGTATATGAAAGGGAATTAATAATCGATCACAATTTATACTACCGGGAGGTAAGCGGATCCCTCGAGAACCCATCGCAGATACACTTTATTCACACAGCTTTCGTTCCTATCCTTTCATTCTAGCTGGGAACTATGTCTTACTCTCACGTAATATGGATTATAGAGCTAAAGTATAACGTTAATGCACCAACGGAGGGAAAATGTTAGCTGGTTTGAAAGCGATTGTTTGCCTGCTTTTTAATCCCAGTCTTTTGAGCCACAGCTTTTTTCACTAGAATCTAATTTACCTACAATCCCCCATATCAATCCACAAGCAGCATTAATTACTCCCATCCAGTAGTGATATATTGGACATATAGCGTAACTCACGCCTGTAATAATTCAGTGGAGAAGCGAAAAGCTATTAACCGGTCACTGCACTACGCAATCCTATGGGTGTCGCCAGTCACTGAAGGTAAAATACCATAGCTTCCTAGCGAAGATGTCTATAGAGAACAGAGACTGTGTACCAACCATTGCATATTCTATTATTATTTATTCTGTATAGAACGGCCACATACTGACACATCCAAGTATAATAATAAAGGGAACTCACCAGAGTCTGGACAGGAGAATTTAACGAGCTGGAACTCTGGCTAGGTAAGGCACAGATCAGAGGGCTCAATATGTACGATTATTCCAACCTGCGCCGACGGAAGTCAATCTTTTCACTATCTTTCTACCCTTCTCAATAAGCAGAGTAATTGCGGGTGACCACTGTGCATATCTTTCCCATACACAGCTTGATATTGTGCTTCTTGAGGTATTCGTCTGCAACCTGTATCGATGTGGCGCGAAAACGTACTAGCTGCATTTCGAATATCTACGGCAAGTTCGACATATCCTCGCTTTTAACAGACAAGGAATCGTTATCTGAAGGGTTCTGCTTCACCGAAAGGGAAGGGATGCTGTTAAAATCATGGGTTTCGCGCGACTCCCGCTTGATAATTTTGTCAACGTTGTCTTCCACGCTGCGCGTAAAATCGACCATATTCTTATTATTCTTATTAAAGTCGGCCAGTGCTCCTCTAGTATTAAGATTAAGATTGTCTATCGACTCTGGAAAGCCATAAGACTCGTCGGACATACTGTCTATGTCCAAGAAGCTAGGCATTTCATCCTCTAACTGGCCATCTGATTCACCAATGTCTAACACCAGTGAAGGTCCTTTATGGAGCCTCTGAAATTTACGCTCGCGTTCCATGCCCGCTTTCCATTCCTTGGCGTCTATTATATCTAACTTTTTCTTTCTTGCCGCCTCGAGTTCGATTTTCTTCTTACAGTTGGCCATGGAGACGAGCCTATCAGCAACTCCGACGCGGTAGCTGAACGTGGCTGAATCGCCCTTATAGAAGCATGCCCAGTCCAGGATCTTATTATACACTATTTCGAACGCTATTACCGCTGTGACCATATTTTTTACTATACTAAAAAATAACTAAGTAATAGATATTTCGTAGTCCGTCGAAAAATATTGGCAATCAAAGAACATATATATAGCCTTTGCCAACTTGTGCACAAATACCTTCTTAATCACACGTCTAGTATAGTTCTTAACGTTGATTATTTCCATCTTGTTTATTCCTCTATATTGAGCTTTACTTCTATAATCACTGTTAGCTACTAGATCCGCTTGGGAGACATTATATTAGGCCATTAGCTTCTAGATAATAAAAAGGACGGCTTTAATTTCTAACTCGGTGGTACTCCTATGGCGAGCTCGACTTAGGTATTTCTGTATTTTAATAAGGATATCTCTATCCAAGGACCCAAGTGAATCTTTTAGCTTAACTTGAGCCGTTTTGATCACAGTCGCTCTTTGTAAAGGCTGTCTCTGCTTTTTAGCCCTCATCGGGACAGGAATACGGGGGAGAATATGGCACTGTGTTTATTGATATGCTGAAGTAGTATTTCTTGATAAATATAGTATTGAGATTATAAATTTTTTAAATGGAGGATAATATGGGTATTTAGCACTTATGGCGGCGGCCGGTTGGTGGCTTTCGTAAAGTTCAGTTTTAGATAACTGCGAGCCGTGCAGGGCGACGACTGCGTTTCACCGGTGTTAGTTATAGTTGCTTATAGCCAACAATTCATCGGCGATTTGATAGCTCTACTTATTTGCCATGACCAATAAGCCTGTATAGTACATACAACAGGACAGTGGACATTTTTGGTCCTTTTTTGCAGTGAGCTCTTTGCTAGACCGCAATCTATTCATTTATTGGATGTCTTGGCCCCATGTCATTCATTTGTGGATCATCATTTATATCAGATTCCTACCTTTTTCGGTACTTTATTTATTCTCTGTACCGGTGCTGAGCATGGACACTCTACCGAAAAAGCTCCCAATGGACACTCTAATCAGTTAACTTGTTGCAATGAAGCCCTTTGTTGAGTGGGACGTTCGTCAAAATCTTCATGCTAATGGTACAGTGTGGTGGGGAATTCCAACGCAGTTGGCTGGCGGTCAGCCAATAGTTGAATCCCATACTGATTGATCAATACTTGGTTCTTCTTTAGGGCCACTACAATGATCCAGGCCTTGATAAAAGCAGAAGGATGGCATACTGGGACAAAGCCTGGACGAGGAACTGGTTGGCGCCTACTGAATGCCTGGCTAGGCTTCACGCTAGAACTATGAGGGTGAGGTTGAGTTTACCAGAGAATTTATATTAAACTTGGAACCTTTATGAATGTTCAGTATATCACAATCCTAAGAAGGGTTCAGCAAATCCTGGAAATATGGTACACTATCGAAGCTTGCACGTTATAATGTTACATATACATCCAATTGTGATACTATATGCTTCAGGTACGGCAGGCGAAGTTGACCTGCTCAATCTCAGCCTGACGATCCAATCTTCAAAGTATCTCATATCTGTATTTAACTAAATCACTGTTGGTTAAACAGCAAGAATGACGGCCTTTTAGGCTTCATGGTTAGCCGAGCAAATCTACGTACACTTTACAGCCATATGTAACAAAAAATATTAACCTCACCGATAATCTATCATATCAACCCGGTCAGATACCTAAGACAATTTATAACACTCTACCATGAAGCGCCCTTGTCTGCTATTGCATATCTTGGAGTATATTTGTGGCTATAGATAATTGTTTCAGCTATGCCTTGCCATGTTAGGTGTCTTATGGGTTATATTTGAAACAAAACCCATACTTTAAATTCAGAGCAAGATTCACTTGTGTCAAAGGCCAATCTTACGTGCTGATTCATTATCCAGATTGTCCTAACCAATGCACTTCTTTTATGGCATATGGCTTTGGGTTCGGCGCAGGTATAATCCGTCACGTCCTGCACAGTTTCGATGATGCATTAACTTGGAAAATTCAGGCGCAAATCTCTACTTCCCTCAAATGCAGCTATCAGTACCACAGACAAAACTCGCGCGACTACCTATGGGACACAGGAACACAAACAGAGCATCACGAGGCTGCCAACTAAGCGGGACCAGCCTTTCTATCCAGCGACCAAAACGAGGATAACAGCCAGGCCTCTTCGGTGCGAGCGCTGTAACGGTCGTCGTTCCTCAGCGTACAACTACAACCATTATCGAGACCCAGTGACATATCCTTCCATAGATATCTGCTCCCGATGGTGGACGGGCTGTGCAGCTGCGAAATCTGAAGCGCAGCTGCACAATGATCTACAGCAGTTTTATGAACTACAGGCTAGCAGGATGATATAAGAAACCAGCCAATGGTGTAACTACCTAAAACAACCTTTTATATTTATTTTCTCCACTTTTCTTCGCCATATATGAATAAAGCCACAAAATGACAGAAAATAATAACATGCTAGGACAAAAATAGTATAAGAACGAGAAGCTATCTGGCTAAACTTGATATAGGGTAATTTATAAGAGAAGAAGCGGCAAACAACATTGTATATAAATAGGTAAGCCATTAAAAAGAACGGTACAGGACGCGGTAATTCAAGACAAGTTTCCCCAAGGGCCCAGCAAATCGAGTAATCTTGACAGCTTAATGGATGGATCAGACTCCATTTCTTGCGAGAGACGGTTCCGTGCATCAACTAGTCACCGTACACTAAAATTGTAGCAATAGAATTATCGGCTCTCGCATGGTAACACACTTATAAAATATATATCCAGGCCCTATATTCTTTAATTCTTTCTCATATGGAGGCTACTAATAAAAAGTTAGGTCATACTTTCATACGAAGTAGTAGTATATATTAGTATCTTAATCAAGAAAAGTGGACTACAGTACTCAGACATTGACTTTTGCAACTGAATATAAGTAAATTCCCGATAGCTTAACAGAAACTCACGAACCCTATTCCAGTAATATATATTCTGTTTGAAGTCTTTTTTTCTTAAGTAATAAGATATATTTCAGGAAGTTCTCCTTTCTAGGTGGATGCTTGTTATACCTTACTGATAGATCGCTTATATTATTTAAGTTTACTGCCTTAGCTTTAGTATTAATCTATGATATAATTATTAGTAATAAGCTCACTACCTCCAGATAACTAAGGCTACTGGCTGCAATAAGCGTACGAACAGATAGCCTCGCTCCAATATATACCAATCTAGTAATATGAAGGTACATCCAAATAAAGAAGAGTAGCTAGTAGTCTTACACCAGTTATAATTAAAGTTCTTTTTATAATATGCTAAAAAAGCCTAGCTTATACTTTAACGAGATGGTACTCTTTATATAGGATGATCAAGTAATAGTAAAAGGCGCGGACTATGATTCGTTCTCGCCTAATTATAATGGTATATAGAGGCCGGCATTAGGAAAGTGTCTTGTAATTTATTATATCTATTCTTTAAAGCACCATATATAGATTAAATAAAAGTATATGAATTGAGGAATGGCTAGTATATTCCTATCAGAGTAGTTGTGTCAACTTTCAATAACATTTTAAATCACTAAGCAAAACGATATCTACTCGCACGGCATCCTTATCTCTAGGTAAACTCCTTGGATTAAAACATATAAAGTCGGCGAGTCTACTTGAAACTCTATATTATTTATTTTAATATTATGTTATTGTTTTCACCATAAGTGTGTAAAAAAGTAACAAATCTTTAAGAATACCGCGTACAATTGTATTGAAATGTGGAAGCATATGATAGAAAATCAGTCTCTTATACGTTCGAAGCAGTCGATCAGATGCCGTCTCGCTAAATCGATAAATCGAGTCAGATATCTATTACTATTGGTCAGTTGCATAATACTCACCTAGTCATTTTTATCATTTGGAAAATTGCTATAAATGGCCTTGAGTTTCTTAGACAAGCAAGACGCTCCCCAGATAGAACACTTCCAGGTAATTTCTTCCAAAGCAGGGAATTTATTTAAAAGTAAAAAAGATAAGAATCCGGGTGACCTAAGTAGATAGATCTTTTTAAAGGAAAATAGCTCGACGTTTAGAGCTCGACATGTGCCCCACGAGTCGTTTATAATAATTTGTTCCAGCCCTACTCCAATCTCGCGGAGGATATCGCTTAACTTGTCGCTTAACTCACCCTTTAACTATATTATTTCCAAGGTTTTTAGAGATTCTGATTTCCCATGGAAGATTAATCTACCAAGCTGCAAGTAGGAAATAATCAGTTTAAAAAGTCTCGGTAGCATTGAAAAGTCTACGAGAACAGCGCAGTCCCTATCCCACGCGTCTTCCTCCGAATAATAAAACTCTATATTAAAATAAATTTAAAGATCCAAGAGAGCTGGTATAGCGGGCACCACTAGAATACCACTTGATAAACTTTCTATCTCCAGCGTCTGCAGCGACTGGAATGGTGGTAGAAGTGGCCAGGAGCCAGGAATAGTATAAAAAAGAAGCCACTCTCGAAGGGCTGGCTGCTTAATGAGCTGGTGCTTTAAACTATTTGTGCTTTTATCGCTTCTCTCGGTATCGAGACTAATAGTTTTTTTGACATCAGTAGACGGCATAACAGTGAAAAGATAATCTTAAAAGCCTTACCGGTATCGCTGTACATTAAAGAATCGACTTAACAGGTTTAGCATGCAAGGCTCCACAGCTCGGTGGCAAAAGATATATACCTCTCGAACAAGTGGTAACCACTCGCCTAAGAGTTGGAAAATTCTAGTTACTGGTAGGAGCCTGTCGTTCAAGGACTTGGGAAAGTTATATAGTACATAGTCGATTTTGATTCGTCGAAAGAGAATCTTGGCAGCATTGTATCGAATACCCTTTAAGATATTGAATAATACCCACAGATTGTGGTTCTTTAGCTAATATAACATATCAGTATATTATGATGTCTGCAAACATGGTTGGTTAATATTCTGAAATATTATAAGTAGTAATTCAGGAAACAGGCCCAACAACATTTTCGGGTAAGAGGGCTCTCCATTTGGCCGCCAAAGAACAAGAGGGTGACATTTCACCAGATCTTTCGCAGCTATTATATCCAGATCAAAACATTATTTCAACCCAAATTGAGTAAAATTCTCCTCAGTTGCATAGGTATAATAATTGCTTGCTAAAGCCGTCCATGCAAAAAAAAAAAAAAAAAAAGAAATCTAGCTAGAAGCCAACTTAGAGGTAGTTGCGCTCTCCGCTTTCATATATCCACCTCAAAATTTGTATATAGTATACAACTGTCCAGCTATCTACAATAACACAGTTAACTAAGAGTTTGATTATAAAGCCAGGCTTAATAGGCCTATCCATTACACCAACACACTAGTGCGGCACGATGTGGGTTAAGTGGTCATTCTCAACTCATTGAACATCCCCATTACACAATAGAATAAAAGGAAAGCAAAACCGTAAACCGTATTTTAAGTAGGATTCCGCTCCTAATGATACACTCCTAAAATGAAAGCGAAGTTACCCTAAAATAGGATTTCTATATAAGGCTAAATCCTAGCACAGAAACAATGTGGCCTCCCTGTTTATAGCTGAACTTCTGCCTTCAAGCAACTGTTCGACACTTAGATATTGAACCTTTCGGACATCGCTAGGGTTAAGACCAATCTACTAACCAGGTATTATATAGTTTTTAAAAATTTGACCATTACAGTAACTAAAAAATTGAGCTTAACATTTCAAATCCCGGCTATCCTGTCGTCATAGTCTAATAAGAGAGGACAGTAGGAAAAGTAGACAATAGAAAAGGAAAAAGAATTTACAAGAGGAAGCACTGAATTGGATGTGTATGTTTCAGTGTTGAATGAACCCATCTAGCTAGTCAGAAACTTTGGTTTTAAACTGAGTAACCTAATGTTCGCTCAGTCGAAAAAGCCAACCGAGGGGTGACCTTGGGGAACTTGTATCGAGTGTTTAACAAGTTGTACTGTACCAAGTCTATGCTATACTGGCAGGATCCACTTAATCCAATAGATAAACTGTATTGTTAAAAGATTTCTAGAATATATCGCTAGATACCTCCGGTCTCCGACTATACTAATCAAATAGAATATAACGAAATTTGATCATGTCAGGTAGACCCGTTTAGCATGATCTTTCCTGGACTGGCACAATGAAGACAGCTGCTATTGTTTAGTATTCATCCGGTACCGGCATATATTAAACACTCCCTTACTTCACCAGCAAATAAGGGCGGTACGGTACATTGTTAGTGAGCTAATCTATTAATACTATAAATACCAACATTCCACAACAAATACAGTAGGTCCGGAAGGCAAATGTCCTCCTCTTTGGCTAGCTAGATTAAACAATAATATTAATAAACAGCTCGATATTTACAGAAAACAAGAACAACGGTAGTATTTCTATTTATTTATCAAAGAGGGTATATTCAACCATGGCCCATAGAAACGAGTTCACCAGACGAAAATATCCGAGAGAGTTTAGAATTCCATAGTTATTAAGCAGACCCACTCGACTTAATTAACCTTTATTTCGTATTTTTAACTAATATCAGCTGTCCTCCATATTAAATAGTAATTACCAAATATATAAGGTGGAAAAGAAAAGGAAAAAAGAAATTGGAAATATAGATACGGTGGTAGATCTTCGATCTCATTACTTGGAGGGATCGGCTGGACCAGACGTTGAACACATTTTTTAGATATCGATATATTCAACGACTTCTCCGACTGTATATGCGCGCCCTGAACTAAGTGGTAATAATGGTCTATTCTTATACTAACGAGCGTTTAACATAGCAAACTTATTCTTGAGATGAGAGGACCTTTATAGATAAATAATCTTTATACACGTTTATAGTAGGATCATTTGATCTTAGACTTAAAGTACGGTAATAAGAATAGACTCTTATATTAGTCGACACTCGTGCCTAAATTCCCGAGTTTCACTTTGGTTAATTTTTTATTGGGACGCGACAGTAGAATTAGAATATCTACCCAAGAATCTGACAAGCTAAGATCTGAAGTTAAATCCTATCTTCTTTTTATTATTTCTCTACCTTATCGATGGACATGTTTCCATTCGAAAGAAAGATAGAAGTACATAGTCTAACACAAATTGCCGATATTATATTTCCCGCTCAGATAAGCTAAAATCTCTTATATTTTCATGATTCCGTTTCAGTACAGTATAATATTCTTCTGTCTCTGCTCAATATTGAAAATTCCGTTAGACAATGACCTGCGCGGTCCTGTACTGCACTGTGAGAGTAATTATTATTTTTTTTTTTTAATTTATTACTCTTCGTTAAACTCTTCAATTCTAGAATATTTCATATAAGTATAGTAAATCTGTGCTGCTGATGGCAGTTACCACGTTATACCACGTTTAAAATAGTAGGGGGAAAAGAATCTATCTTTTCATGGAATGCCGCTTTTTCTTATTTTTGAAAGAACAACTACCTCCTTCTTTCCCCACTTTATATGTCTGCAGGGCACCCTAGACTTAGGTAGTTCTACTAACTAAATATCTTAATATAGTTGATTAAATTGAAGTCGCTGGGATTAATTATATATATTATACTCGAATATTCTAAGGAAAAGGGTCTAGTTTTGGAACTCCTACTTTTGATTTACTTTAGATCAAATTTATCTCTTTCTGGAGTTCTCTTATTCCCTTTGATTTTTTTTTTTTTTTTTTTTTAGTACTTCTAGCTATCTAATTCGACCGAAAATTCTTCAACAAAGCTATACTTGCTTTTTTCAACATCATCGAAGTCTTTAGCAAGGTACGAAAAAGTTAAAATAATAAGTATCTAACAATACTAGATAGTAAGGGAAAGAAATAATATTATAATCTAGGAAAGTAAGTTAAAATTAAATAAAAATCTTAGATTTCCATAGATGATTATTTCAATATTATCCAACGTTAGGGTACTGTACTGTAAAGTCTCCATTAGCCTACTTTGAATAACTATTATAAGCTAATCGATATAGTATAAAAATAATCACTAGCTAAGTCTTAGTATTGTATACCGTAGGAATAGACTTTAATAATCTAAATTTTTTGAGCAATATCCAGTATGTATATTTTCGGGATACCTTGGTATTGGTCGGTGGTAGAGCTTTTCTTCAGTCCATCTGTGGTATACCCAATTTATATGTTCAACGCTGGCGTCAACTTCTCAGTTTCAGTCGTTCAACTTCCGATACAATACAGTCTAAAGGAGTGTATAGTATCGATTCCTATTACTATAATGCGTGCAGTTTCAGACTCTACCCCACATAAATAAAGAGGAGAACCCTTTATAGGGACCTCTGTCTTAATATCCTAGACTTATTCTCTACACATCTACTCTATATTATCTATTCTTTGATATACTCTCGAATCCTGTGCGATGGCGGTAAAGAAGAATATACTCTCAATTAGTGATAGAGAATTTACAAGCTTGGTTGCGGATAAGATGATTCTCGATTTTCTAGATAATATAATTCTGAATCTCAAATGCGAGAGAGCTGTGAGTGCTATTACCAAGAAAATAAATGGCTACTTACTAATCGAGGATAAATCAATTGATAAAATCTAGTACACCGCCAATTTTTAAGAGAATTTATATAATGCACTATCGAATATTTAGTAACAATAATAAATATTCTGAGGAAGACCTCGATGCTTTAGCTAGGTATATAAAGGAGAAACGTCCTCATTTAATAGATGTGCTGAAGAGCTACGAGCATCAAGTGGGAAACGTGGTTGAAATAGGCCTGATCCCTGACAATTTAAGCTTGCAAAACATGGGAGAAAGGGTGAAGAGAACCTTAGCCGCAGACCACGAAGAAGCTAATCGTGACGATTGTATATAGGCTTCAATGGAATAGAAGTAGCAAGAATACGCCTAATGTAGCTCTTACTAAGGTATGCGGCCTTCTGTGACGGGGGTTTGATTTGAGTATCGACTCACGCGTCTTGAAATTTTCCCTTTTGACCGACGCGAAACCGCTGCTACGTCGGTTACAAAGGTTGCGCTTCCAATGAGAATTATGAGTTTTTCACTTCTCTTCCGGTTTTCTCAGCGAGCTTTCTTCTATTTTATAATCGGATTGAGATATTTATAGCCTACTTAAGGCCGTGTAATCTGGCCATTGTATTTTATTTGTTCCTGCTTAGTATTTTCCTTAAGCTAAGTTTATACTGATATGCCATGTTTATCCACTTCCTTGCGTAACAGTAGCAAATCAGCCTTGAGTCCCGCAATGCAATTACAGGTATTCTGTAAAATTAATGCCTTTCTACTAGGCTTTCTGCCTTTCTTTGACTTTCTATTAATACTGTTCAGGTCTTTGGCCTTTATAGCGCAAGATCTAGTTATATCTTCGAGTTGCTTAAATTTAGCATTTATATTATCTCGATACCGCTTTTCGTTCCGGTTATGTACCTTCTTTCCTATTTTGGATAGGTTTGGGTCCAATCTTTTCGACACAATCTTTTGTAGGTGACGAAGTCGTACAAGTCCATCTCGTGATGGTCGCGTTTTCTGTTTTCCTGGCTGTTGACTTAGAACAGGAGCGTCCAGCCCACAATTCAAGTCGGCGTTGTAGGATCTAGTTGGATTATGTGGTTCTACTTGCTTCGCTTGTTTTATGTAAGGTTTTTCGTTCGAAATTGTTTCTAAGTTCTTTTTATGCTTCGTAGGCAAACTATCGGGGTAGGTAACTTTTTCAAAGTCGCTGTGCTGCGGTGAAGAATGGCATGCGGTTATGCTCTAGTATTTCAAATACTGTCAGCATGCTTTATACAATTATAACAACTGCCTTAGGTTGCACAGGGACGGAAAGGAAGGGCTTATTTTGAACTTACTGTAGGGGTATTGGAAGCGCAGGTCGCAGTGCTTGAGGTCCCTGATTGATAAATTATACCACATGTCTCTAGCAGCTCAGGGAAGTTGTTAGCACTTTCCATTACTCTATTAGACCAATATAGAAATGGCTGTACTTGGTCAAGGAGTAGCCATGGCCATTGGTTATTTTCTCCTATAATTTCTGTCGAAAAGGTAGAGTTACACGTATGAAGGAGAACCAGGTCGACCAAGGTGCCCAGTTAATATCTTTGTATATAGCTGATAGGAGTGGTTAATATGTGACAATTTATATTAAGCTAAACATTCCTTAGCCTTACGATAACTTAATTTAATAACTCAGCACTTGGCAACATGACATCCTGTATTCCTGTAGAGAATATCTAGTTATGACGTAAAAGACTTTCGGGTAAGGCTTAAAAGGCGGGGGAAGTATCCGAACCCCTTTATTAAGAAACGCGGTTTTTAAGTTTTATCCTAGACTAGAATCGGAAGGCGATCTAGTCTTTATAGGTATAAATATTAGCTCGAAGCATAAAGATTTTCTATCTAGGTACATTTTATATTCCGAGACGCTCTCATCCCTATATCATCATATCGTGGAGGGTTAAACATTTATAAAAACAAAGAGAAAAAGAAAAAGAAAACAATAAAAAATCATCGCGATCGCCTCTCCAGCGCATCCAGTCTAAAACCCGTAAACTTGCTAAACCACTAGGCCAAGTGCGGGAAGAACATCACTGCATCGGGTTTTGTCATAGTCTGGTTTATACACCATGGAAAACCTCGTAGAAAAAAGGATATATAAATATATGCACTACAAAAGATAATTAGAGCTAATTCCCTTGGTAACTCTCAGGTACCTAGTAAGGAAATATTTTTAGATGATCTCATTTCTATAGATCACGGTTAAATATGACCTCTTTGATAGATAAATAGAGATATTGCTTAAATCTATTCTTTGCTTTTTCTTATCTAAAGTAGTTATCTGTAGGCGCTATCAATAGGCGCCAGCTGTCTAGTATTTTTGAACATACATAGTTACGGAAGGCCTAGTACTTAATTGTAGAGTATATCTACCCTAAAGGGATGCAAGTTACCCTACCCTTCGTTCTGTATGCGCATATCTTTTTCTTCTCTCCGACCTTAGAATAGAACCTCCTGTATCTGATACTGTGCCGTATTTTGGGGACTTTCTCGAGATAGACCCTTTTAGTCTTCAAAAGGGCCCCCGTCTGAAACGGTTTGTGTCATTACTATTAAGTCTCGTGCTCTATAAAGCGTACCTCACTATTCTAAGTAGAGGTGAGAGCCTCGCACAGTACCTAGCAATGAAGCTATTTAGCAGGTTCTGGACAAAAAATTCAACACATTCCTCAGAAATAACAGTCCCTTCTCGAACCCAAAGTATAATATACACCATGATCTTGGTTGTATCGGTGTTTCATATGCCATCTAGATCCAAACCGATCTTAGAATAATGGTGATAGTATCTGTCACTGCAGTACCTAAGTACATACAATTAAGGTATCGAAATCTATGTACCAGGCGCTCAAGAGCGGTATTTTTCAACGGCTTCTCGAGCCATAGTAAATAGCTGGAATTACAGAAAAAAGATATAAGTCACCGAGCAATCCATTGCAGAAGCATCGAAGTGGGATGACTCTTCTTTACAACGTAATATAGATACCACCGTGCAATATTTGAGAATATAACAGCTAATCGTGTATTGGATAGCCGTCGAGAGCTTTGGAAACTTATTTCAAGATTTATATAAAAAGTCTGTTGCGCTTCGTGCCACATTAGATAATATCCCATTTACTAGACCTCCCACTACTACGAGCCTTCAGCCATCTACGATCCTATATCACAGGGAGATTGGCGCAGCTATAACGGCTGCAAGGACATTGATAATAACATATGTCCACTATAAGGACGTCCACATACCCCCACCGCAGGTAAAGCAGGATTTATACAGAATGTCTTAGCCTCGGAGCCCATAGACAGATAAAAGATCAGGTTAATATTCGGATATAAATCTGAATATCGCAGAGCAGTTGTGTACTACCATAATCTTGATAACAAAATTCTCACCACTAGTACCCATAGAAAAGAAAGAACTTTCAGACTTATCAGATTACATATAGGTATCTAATTCACATTCAGCGAGAGCGACCGGATACAAAAGAAAAAGGAGAGCCAAGTGGCAGTGACGGGCATAGTTAGCTGCTGCACAACACAAACTTTTGTGCGTATATAACCTATGTAGGGGGTTCAATAGACAACCTACATTGCGAATAGCTTCTGGATTAAGTACATTACCCAGATACGTTATGTGCACATCTACTGTGTAGCACTTGTCCAGGACTGATTCCATTGTATTATTCTGTATTATATGCTATCGTTCTCCTGCGGGCGCACAGTAACCTTGAGTCTTCAATAAAATAATATATTAATATAGTCAGACTATGGCCTACGTTAAGCATCGGTTATATATTTTCAATCACTCTTCACGGCTTCGAGACCTTTAGATGGCAGCCATACGGACGGTTCCTAGATTAACATGTGAATAAAAGGTTCTACATAATCTAACCTATTACTTTAACCTATTTGGTTTCTCACTTTAGTTAATAATCTCCGCCATTTTTCATGCTTTGAAAAGTAAGTCTTCGGCTTAGAGATCCGTGGAGCTTCTCTTGTAGCCAAAGCTGTACCCAAAAATGAAATAATTCTCGTTGCTCCCCCCGAATATAAAGTAGATAATAGCTAAGTTATATCTATCTTATCCACTAGAATCATCTCCGAATCGGAATTCCACTTTATAGTTGTCGCTTCTGAGTTTGTGGAGTCTATGGAATTTCTCCTTTCAGTGAACTCTAATATAGATATTAAAAACTGCTCAAATGCATGTCCTTCTTCTACATACCTAGAGTTCTTTTATAGTAGGCGAGGGGAACTTCAGTTTCCGGTAAGGCATCGTACTTACCTATATAAAAGCTCTCATTAAAAATAGCCTTATTTCGTCCCGGTTTCTTAACGATATAAGACCTCTTATTCTCTATATGCAATCTGCTATACAAATTTTCCAGTTCGCTATGCTCAAAGAAATAACCGATAGTGTTTACTGTTGCGGGCTGGAATGACCCACTCTCGCCTCTTGGAGATATCCTGGTATTCTTAGAAAAACTAGACTTCTGGTCAAGAGCTTTATTAACTAGTTAGCTGTCAGTACAACATATCCTAAGAAAAATATAGAAGACTTACTCATTATTTTATATAGCCAGAAATTATGCACTTTAACAGAACTTCTTCAACCGAAGGAAAAGAACGGCGCGAATAGCTATTATATACACCGTTGTTTCGCTAGATCGTTGACTAGTACAGATATAAGTAAAATTGCCAGTCAATAAGCAAGAATTCATTCTCAGTCTATACGTTTTAGTGGGCCACTTTACGCAAAGAAAACAATTACTGGTCTCAGACTTCAACCACACTGTCATTATAATTGATTTGTACCTAGAAATTATTCATAGACGATATGAAATTATTACATTATTTCCAAGGATTTTGGGAGAACTACACAATCACAAGAGACCTGGGATATGCTAATAGGCATGCTAGTTCCTAAAGTAGTACAAAGTCAGTACACAGGGGGTTTGAGTCTTTATATATAATAGAATGATGATGCTTACATTACTATAGTAGATGCTCAGACGATATACCAAATAAGTTAGGTATATTTATGATAAAATGGACTGCCTCACAGAATAGAAAATAAAATCTGTAGATTTAGTCCAAACGATATCTAGAAAGACGTGATTCTTAAAGTCTGACCAGGTGTATATTCAATACAAGCATAAGATACGCTACGCAGAGCGCAGTGTATTATTATTTTTCAAGGTTAACGTCTATATAGAGCCATTGGCTATGGCAGGCATAAAAAGAACCTGCGTAGTATAGAGGGTTATACTGGTTAAAGAATAGCCAAATCTAGGCAGTCAATAATATCTATAAAGCAGAGTTTAATAGAAAATTCTGCGAAGCCTATAGGTATGGTATACCTCTACAGCTCGTATCGACAATGCCTTATATCAATGCTTTGGTCTTTATCAAGATAAATTACTATAAAATATAGTCGCAATAAATTTCTATGAAAAGTTTTACTAAATACTTAAATCTATCACTGACAATGCTTAAAGCGGTTTAGCCTTGTTGACTACTGCTTTCATCACATGGGGCTACACTTAAATAGAACCTATAAACTATCATTTATTAAGAAGAGCAGGTCTTGGTAACGTTACTATATCATCTTTCCAAGATTAGTAAAGCGTGACTAGTTTTTAAGTACGCTCTACTTTTATAAATACAATTGACTATACTCATTAATTCTGGTTCTATCAAACTATGATATTAACTGAAGCCTTGGGAACGTCCAAGATCCTGCAATTAGACATCGTCTTCTGTAGTACAAGTGAACGGGAGTACTTAATATATATCCTTGCTCTACGAACATGTATTAAATAAATGAATTGGGGTTATTATTATACAAATATAGCTCGATAATTAGGAAGCTGGGATTTCCAAGCGAGTAGAGGATAGTATATTATATAATATTTGATAAAGCTTAGAATATCTAAATCGACTAACCTCTCTTTCTATTTTCACTTTAAATAGAATAATAGAATTTATTATCAAGGATATTATAGGAGAAAAAAGAAAGAAAATAGACAAGCTATAAGCGAGTCGACCGATTTTGTGTTTCCGTATTTGGTCCAGCACTGAACTAACCTCAACAGCCCCACAAATCCCGAGTATAACTATTTAACCTCATCCAACGAAGGAGTATAGGACCAGAAAGTGCGTGCGGAATAGAGCGCAAACTATGCTAGCCACATTAACTCTTTTATAGATAGACTGGTTTTCGTGATAAGAGGGTACTATTCAATATTAGCCTACATCCTAAATAAAAGCTTCTCTGCATATACTTTCCTAAGCTCATCCACTGAATTAGCAGAAGTAGTAATTGATAAGAAGTCTAGTGCAGTGGCACTGGAAGACGAGCGGTTAAGACTGTCCACGCCCACTACACCCTCGTCTTTTACATAGCCCTGCATCAATTCTATAGTTACGTTAGCGACAGAGATCAGGTCGACTCTTGATAATTTATCCGGAGATCGTTTACGACAGCAGTCTATGCGTACTAAGAAGCGTGAGTAATCTCTCGACACGAAAGAAATTAACTATCGTTAATTTATTACCAATTTTAATTTGTCCCTCGATACTTATCAAGATACTTGAACTTTTCAGAGACGTATACCTAATCCGTTTCGAGGATAAATAAGAAAGACCACTGAGAAACTAGGATCATTTACCACATTGATTCCGTGTTAACTTGCAAATATAGAGGTCTGTCTAACCTGCTCTATAATTGCGGTGAGCTGCTACTCATTAGGGAAAACTTTGCATGCAACGATATATTCAAGAGTGAGCGGGTAAAATTCACTTACGGTATATACTATACTATTAAACTGAAAGCACTCCATAGCAGAGAAGATCTTCTTATGACGAAGAGAACAAAGAGCCTGCATTATATTCTTACCATCTTTAGATACAAACTGGCGAATTGTCTAAATATCTAAAGGATCGGATCGACAAATAACTATAGCTACAGTGCCAGCTAGATCACAATCAAATCTTTTTTTAAAGCTTTTCCAAGGACATACTTTATGCAGTACTGGTAGAGATCGGTATCCAGAATTGCTAGGTTAGAGCAAAGCCTCATCTCGGTACTGGTTATACTTGATCTTTTCATTTATCTAGGTTAAAGGGGCCGACGTCTTCTCAGTCAAATAGCCACTTGAATATAGTATTTTATTCACCAGGTGCTCGACTTTGTTGGCCTATACAGTAAATAAAGCGTTTATTTCTGGAAGGGAAGCAGGGGATTTAATTGAATCGAGATATTTAATATCAAGTAAAGTCAAGTGTTTTTCTTTCTTGGATGACATGATAGTATTAAATGAAAGTGGATATATCTAGATACAGTAGGTTAAGATAAGCAGAAATAAAATTATCAATTCCACGCCTGTACTAATAGACAAGTTTTATATAAAATCCGGCCAGTCTTTTTAAGGGGAAAGAGCCCTCTCTCAGCAGTGGCCCTTAGCTATTGGAGGGTTAAATGATTTAATTCTTTTAAATACCATATTAATAGCGCATCATATCTACCCAATCTCTATTGTACCTTAATAAATCTATTATATTTACCTTTTTTTAAGTAGCTAGACCAAATGCAGCGGGCCTTGTTTACTGAGGAAGAGGTGCGCCTCGCCTCTAAGCGACGCCTGAAATATCAAGGGTCGGCGAAAGTTAGTATTAGTGACATTGAATTTGACCCACCATTGCCTCGAGACCTAGACTCGAGAAATCTAGACAGGATTTGTTAGATTTTTCGAAAGAATCGCTGTCGTCGCCTTGACGTGGAGAATCGTATTCCAGTGATCGTAGCTTGAAATAATCTATCCACGGCATTCGAGCAAGCGGAAGTGACAGCCGGCGCTTTGATAACTAAAAGTGCTGAGTGTCTTCCTAGTCTCCGATTCCTATTAGGCAAGCTGCGGGGTCTGCATGGACGACATCGCGCGCAGGCCGGCTCCATGGTGCTGGCGCCCATCGACCGATGGTGGGCCGTAGACCTATATTTTGACGGTCTGACCGCTGCCCTGTTCTACTCTAGAAGCGACGAGAACTGACTGCGTGCTTCGGTACAGATATTAGTGAGGAACTAAGGACAACTTTAGTAGAAGAATATTCCAACCAGAAGTCGCCAACTAATGGCGAAATATATCGAAAAATACAACAATATAAAGGTAAGAAGAACAAGCCTTTCCAAGAGCGGTGGTTTGTACGATTGTTAAAAAGCAATCAAGGCCGGCTGGAACAACTCGACAACCGCAGAAATCGCTGGCTTCGCGGCGCTTTTGATAAATTGCTACGGATTCCAGGCATTTGGCTCAATGGGATGAGGATCAGCATGCTACATCGTCTGATTGCCACTGACTGTGTAGAAGTGAGTAGTTACCAATATTACTCTCTTTTTTATTATTAGCTATTTTGCAATATATATCTGACAACACGTAGGAGATGATCACCTATCTTAAATATATCGAGGAGTTCTGGTCATCTCTCGTCGGCGCCGATACGGCTGCCATGAAGAAAATAGATCAAGATACTGTAGATAATCTGTAGCTTTTGGCCCCTGGAAAGAGCCGCGTGGATAAAAGTACCGTATGTGGCCTTGTTCTGAGTGGCCGGGTATTTTTAGATTTTAGTGAGACAGAGCGAAGGTCTATCTGGAGCCGTCTGGAGGTCTTTAATGGTCTGGTACCGTTGCTATATACCTTTTTCGAGGATTTCAAATATCTGGAAAACTGCGCTCAGTGCATTAAGCGCCTCTTCGGGCCCATTAACAAGTCTATATGGAACACCATGAAATATATGTTCCATGGTTCACCAGACCTCGAACAAGATTGTCTCATTCAGACGTCCGAGTGCACTGAGCGTCTTCAACGCGCAGGCAGTGCAGAATGCCTCGATCTCGGTTACCGACAGGTTTGGCTCTTTGCCATGCGGAACTATACTCTCATGCCAACTGATCCGAAGAACGATGACGATCTCCTGGCAAAGCCCAATCGAGCCATGGCAGATGCTTGTACAATCTACGATATGGCAGACCTCGTGCGCCGCCTTGGATTTCATTCTTCGGAGATTGAGAGTCTCTTGCAAGGGTCTCCCGACCGACAGATCGCCCGGGATGCTCTTCTGCAGGCCCGAAAACCCCACCGCTTTCGATATGACGTGCGCGAATTCGATGCCCTTGTCGACCGGATTGTTGAGTGCTTCTTAGCCGCTGTACCTTACGAGCCTGAGCGGAACCCTAAGCTTTTGGTGGATAGCACCGTAAAGGCTCGAGCCCAATGCGGGACGCCCCAAAAGCGGACGCATAGGCAAGATAGCCTACATCTGTTTATAGACTATCTTCATAAGGATGAGATTATAATTGCCGATACAATTACCACATTTTTCGTCCGTCGCTGCGTCTATTTTACTTTTTTCGGGAAACCTTGCTCTCATAGCAACCCGCATGTGGATCGCGATGGTGACCCGCTTTCCCAAGGTTCACCTGCGTTTTCGCCGTTGTTTATAAGGGACGACAGCGCTGCCATAGACCTGGAGATTACTATTCCCGCGGGACTGGCGGCGGAGCAACCTAAATCCGAGCCGGAAGGAGTACCAGTAGGAAAAGGCCAGCAGAATATACGGGGGCGGCAGCACCAGTCAGGGGTCTATAAGAGGTTACGACGCCGGACACGCAAAATACGAAAGCGAAGACGCTAGATATAACTAGGGGGACAGACTGCTAAACCATCAATAGAGCTAGACTCCCTGAACGCAGGGTCTATGAACGACGAGGTAAAGGATAACAACGGCTCGGATCCGAGGATTACCAATACAGGCACCCCTGAGCTATCACCACCAATTGCAGCCGTGGATCTGATGTCTAGGGCTACTACACCGGACCCTGAGCCTCTAGTACATGATCGGACTGAACGTGAGGTGAGGTCAGAGCTGGCTGCATCATTAGAGCCGCCTGATGACGGTGTCCTTGAGCCGGTCGTTGCACCAGGACCCGGCGAAAGAGACTCAGGTCTCTTTGAGTCGACCACTTCCAGTATAGTTACCCCTGATCAACCGCTCGGAGCGGTAGATTTGGAACAAACCCCGAGTAGCCCATCCCCCAAGCAACC